AACAAACAAAAAAACCCAAAACAATGAAACCACATTAATTCAGTTGATCTCCATATTAAAATTATTAGTTTCCTCTAATCTCAAGATAATGCCAAGTCACAAACTAATTAAAAAATTTAAAAATTAAAAAAAAGAAAAATTAAAAAAGTAAATATACTAGTTATCTATGTAAAGATATTCCCTTCTCTCCATTACACAAATGATAATAGATGATTAGTCTATATTTATCACTATTCCGACACCACAGTTTATAATTCAATATTCTGAAGGTTAGAAGGGAAGGCAGTCAATATCCCTAAGTAAGATTTATTTGGTGTTTTTTTTTCCTAAGTAAGAGATATTTGAATATAAGAACTCATTTTGTCTCCATCTCCTACATTAATAATCAACATACAAATTACAAGTGTTATCAAAACCTGCAAAGGTTTTTAAAAGGAAAAGAATCCATAACCAAACTAAACAAATGATAAGCTATGTACGCCTTTAAATATTTTGAAATATTTGAGTGTAGATGAAAAGAAAGGTGACTTTCATGTTCTAACTTGTTACATAATATTGTACAGTAGTTTATACTAGTTAATAAGAAAATCCATTTCAAAGATAAAACCAGGTTCCAAGGATGAATATGGATAAAGTCATTATGAAATTACCGATGTTTTATTTTCTCCCCTCAAACTCATTTCCCCTCCTTCTTGCCCCCTTTCACCAGCTGACCACAACTAGCCCTCTACATTCCTTTAAACTCTCCTGAAGGAATGTCCCTCATTTCCCTAAATAGCACAATTTTCAGTGAAGTGAAGGTAACAGGAATTAGTAGCTGTCATCTTAGAAAGAGACATGTTACTGTATTCTCTGTATTAGTCTGGAGAGCTGCAACATAGACAAGACAAAGAGAAATAACCATAAAAAAGGACTACTGACACATACATGGTGTAAAAAAATTATTGACAACTACCGTGTTATCTCCTTATAAAACCTTTCATTTTCATTAAGATTTTAAAATGACTCTCTATAATCTGTTGCAAACTAAAATGTCATAAAAAATTTATACACTAGAAATGTCTCCAATAGTTTTGCTATGATTAGGAAAGGTAAAAGAATGAAACAAACTGCAAGGCAATGATGTATAAAACTGTTATTATATATTCTTTTCAAGGCAGAGCCAGATCTATATATGGAACACAAGATTATTTTAAAAAGAATGCTATTTGTTGTCTTTATAATTTTACAGAATTAATATTAGAATATTCTTAAAACCTAGCAAAAGTCCCACATTTGCATACCAAGGTATTATATATGTGTATGTACGAGGCACATACATATATATTCATAAATTTTAAATAATAATACTAAGTTATCTTAAAACATTATAGAGAATACACCCCACCCCCCATTTCTAACAGTAAGAAAATCATCGACCTGCATGAACTGGAATCAGATTCATTTTCCTCTTCACTAGTGCCATCATCCACTTCTGGTCTATCCAGCCAGTGTGCACCGCCACAGTCTTCTGCTGTAAACTCAAATGCAGGGACTTCAGAGGTGGATGCCATTGGCCAAGAAGGTGAACTCTGAAAATCCAGTTGGCTGGACCTTCGGTAACCAATTGAAGCCAGAGGCAATTGTAGGCTACATGGATCTAAAAACTTTCTCCCACCGTTTGCTCCAGTCTGTCCTCGATTCCAAAATTCTCCCTGCTGGCTGTCAACTGTAGGATTAGGAGATGATGCTTGATGGCCAAACCACCTCCATCTGATTTTCAAAATCTGCTTCACATCAAACTCTTTACGAGAACCAGACATCCTCAGAGAAACCAAGTGATCGTCTAGGCAACGGGCAAAAAGCACTGCACACAGATCTGTGCATCCAACCAAGACAAGAGAAGTATATGCCCTGCTGTACACAATAAACAGATTGAAAAGAAAATAAATCACATTCACATATATATCTACATTTACTTTTACACAGGATGTCAGATTATAAAGAACAAAGGATAATGAATAAAGATGAAACACGGTGGAACATTCCGTTCAATCAGAGCAAACTCATCCACCTATCCTGAAGCAGCTAGCCCACTTTCCTCTGCTCTCCTTTCCCATACTGACCATTAGCTCTCACAAACACTGACAGCATTCATTAAAGCCCTTTCAAATGCAGAACACTACCCCCTTTCCTTAAACCACAAATGACAGAAAGCACTATCCTTCACAGTATCAGTCTCTGCTGCTTAGTGTATTAACTCTTTTATTGCTGAAACAAGAAATTTATTCCAGAGCATTTTCCTTTGTACTTAAAAATCACTGTAAAACTAAAGTGTCTCTATTTTTACACAAAGCTCCTACATGAGATAGCACAAAAGAATAGTTTTTTAATAAGCATTTTTTTAATTAGATGAGTTCTAGTGGTTTTTCAAGCTGTGCTCTTTGGATGGGGGATGAGGAGGGAGGAACGGAACAAAAGGTGAGGTTCCAGTTTGTTGCTTTCCACCTCTATCTTCTCCCTTTAGGAAAGGAGTGCATTTCTTTAATAGAGTAAGATCCTGGGTAAGATTTCATTTGAGCAAAGAATAAGGAGAAAAAGTTTGAAACTACAAAGATCAAAATACGGCAGTACTTATTCTTCAACTAAATAACATGAAGCCAATATTGCTCTAAAAATAGGATTGGACTATGATAATATCCAAATTCCTATGACACTACTTAGAAAAAGGAAAGTGTGGCTCAAGAAAGCTACCAAGGACTGGGATAGGACTATTTTGGGGGTGTACAGGCATCCTAATGGTACCCTCTATTGTTAGCAAAACAAAACAATGGCCTAAACATGGTTACAATTAAGGCAAATTGATAAAGCAAATAAAAATCAATCAAATGCAATCAAATTATAAAATATTGAGTGGTTACTGTGGGCAAGACACTCTACTAGGGCATTGGGGGAGGGGGGCATAGATATATGCATCTTGGTTCCTATACTCAAAAATAATTATAACCAGTTATAGAAACAAAATATTTGATAATTTAAATACAAAAAACATTTTTCGGGGTGCTCAATACCTAATACTATATCAAGTATTTCACTCAAACGGCAATGCCTTTTATCAACTGACCAAGAAAAAAAAAGCTGCTTTGGAGGCTTAAAATATATTTCAAGGCATATGTCTATATATCTTAACCTCACACAGCTCTTTAAGAGAATCAGAGTGAGGGGCATGAAAAGCCATATACAATTTTGTGCTAAGTATTGTAGGACAAACCATAAGCACTATAACAAAGAGAAAGGAGATATCAGGATGGTGTGGGATGGTATGGGCCAGTTATATTAGAGAGAAGGCATCTAAGAGTAGGAAGAAGCTGAATAGGCAGAATGATGATAGATTTTATAAAGGAAGAAAGACATTTAAAAAAAAAGGCATGAAGTGAGCACATTGACAAAGAAAGGGGGAAATATTACTTTAATCAGTCAGCCACACATACTAATTAATTTTAAGGAGTAGTACAGTTGGATAAATATGATGAGATAAAATGCCTTGAGCACAAAGCAAAGGCGTAAAGACTAACAGGCAATACTAAGTGAACTACTGAATAGAGCAGTGTTTTAGGAAATAAGTTTGGCAGTCGTATGCAAGATGCATTAGAGTGAAATGACACTTCCCTTTCCTCATACCTCTGTCAGACTTCTAACTCCACTCTACCTATCCAACTTTATTTCCAACATAGACATACCACTTCATCTGTCAAGGTAGAGTCTAATTATGTTGCTCCCTCTTTTATATGCTGTTTGTGTCTCAATTTCTGTGGTGTTTTTAAAATATATTTTTATTCATTTCAGAGAGGAAGGGAGATGGAGAGAGATACAAACATCAATGATGAGAGAGAATCACTGATTGGCTGCCTCCTGCACAGCCCGCCACTGGGGATCAAGCTGGCACCCAGGCATGTGCCCTGACTGGGGATCGAATTGTGACCTCTTGGTTCATAGGTGCACTCAACCACTGAGCCACAATGGTTGGGCCCAATTTCTGTGGAATCCTACTCATCCTTTAAGTCTCAGCACAGACATTACAATTCTTAGAAATATTTCAATTACTCCAACACTGTGGTTCTCAACAAGAATAGCACCAACACCAACACCCCCTGCATCCCAAAAGGGGTGCTGGAAGTTGGGGCTGGAATTTTAGTTGTTGGAATGACCGGAGAGTGCTATAGGCATTCAGTGGGCAGGGGCCAGAGATGGTAAATACCTTGCAAAGCATGGTATAGACCAGTGATGGCGAACCTATGACACGTGAACTCATTTTTTTGGTTGATTTTTCTTTGTTAAATGGCATTTAAATATATAAATAAATATCAAAAGTATAAATCTTTGTTTTACTATGGTTGCAAATATCAAAAAATTTCTATATGTGACACGGCACCAGAGTTAAGTTAGGGTTTTTCAAAATGCTGACACGCCGAGCTCAAAAGGTTCGCCATCACTGGTATAGACCCACACAATAAAGAATTGCCATTGCAGTAGTTCATAATGATCTTGCCATCACTGTCTTCATTCAAATAACTATTTACCAAGCATTATATGTACAAAGCACCACAAGAAACAGAAAAATGAATAACAGATTTTTTTGTTGTTAATCCTCACCCAAAGATATTTTTTTTTCATTGATTTTTTTTTTTTTTTAGAGATAGTAGAAGGAAGAGAGGGAGAAGAGTGAGAGACAAAGAGAGGGGGAGAGAGAGGGAGACAGAGAAGAAAGACAAAGCAACTGGTTGTCTCCTACTGGTGTCCCTGAAACTCTTCAGTTCATGGGCTGATGCTCAAACCACTGAGCACAGTGCCCAGGGCAGATTTCTTTCTTTCTTTTTTTTTTTAATTAAATCTTTATTGTTCAGATTACATTTGTTCCTCTTTTTTTTTTCCCCCATAACTCCCCTCCTCCCAGTTCCCGCCCCACC